TGAACAATTGCACGCTCTTCCACTGATAATTAATCTCACTTTAGAATTCTACAGTCTACAATAAAAAATTGTTTTGAAACTCTTGCGTCTGACCAATAATATATTTCTCCACTGACTGACTACAATCTTGGTATTTAATGAAATATTCAACAGTGTATTAATTATTTTTCAGAAAAAAGAATTCCCATTTGAAACTCCTTAGACTGTGCCAAATATAATGATTCGAACTCCTTGGAATGTAATGAATAAAAATAATGAATAATAAAACGATAAAACAGATGATTCAGATATCTCTTGCAAAAGAATAGTAAAAATGTCTGAGTTTCAACAAACAAGAATATCGAATATTGTCTCTTTCGTTTGCCAAAAAGTATGAAATTTTGGTAATTTTTAAATATTCCAAGTAATATCGTGAATGTTTTAAAAATCATTTTAGGAAATTTTCGTTTCGAAGGACAGAAACGTTAAAACGCAGGGGATGAATATTTCATCGCGTTCTACTTTGTTAATTTCAGCGGGCCGTGCGTGCTATTGTCGCGTTGAATTTTTAACGTAGCCGAGAGATGCGTTAGAGAAGACTTCCCCGTGGATTAATCTTTTCGTCAATAAATAAAAATAATTCCCTTTTGTTCCATTTAATTTCGTCTCTCTCTGCTTTTTCTGCACCGCGTTAAAAACTCCCCCTCGGGAACAACATTTGAAAAAACTTTTAGAAATCCCTATCGATACACGTACTTCCTTTGTTGCTTTTCACTTTTCGTGTTCATAGAATAATAACAATTCTGCACCGGCTAATTATTACAAATTATTTCCAACTGAGAATAAAAAGAAAAAAAAAAAACTTTCCTTCTGAGGGTTGTTAACTTCACCCTCGATCACGCTGTTAACTCTCTCGACGTCGGACGAACTTTTTCAATATCTGTTATCCAACGATAATAATCTCCATTAACCGATTTCAATCGAACCTGCGGTCAGCTCGATCTCATCCACGCCGAGTAACATTCTCATCTAACAAGTCTAACAACTCGCCGTATCATTGTCGTTTCGTTTTAATCAAAGTCCAATCACCGGCGCGAAAAGTTTCTCCATCGGTTGAATTAAAACCGCGCGCGTTCCGAAGGCCGAAAAAATTGAATTACAGCGTTATTACGGGATCGTTCTCACTATTCTCTCGCATTGTTTCCTCTGTTGCTGATGTTAGCTGCGCCACGCTCCGACGACTTTCGTTGATGAAAATCGCGCCAATTTCTTTCCGACCGATTGATTCCTTTTCCCACTGATTTGGAAACGTGGATTATTTGGGCCACTTGAGTTTGTTCATCTCTTGACATTGGGAATCGTTGAATTTTTGAATAATTGCTAGAACCTCGAAACAAAAGGAAAGGTGAAATTATCTTCAACTCCCATTTTTAGTATTTTTCGTAGATCTTTCGTTTCCCGGCTTCATTTTTTATCGTTCAATTTTAGACAAATCTGAAAACAAACTGTCATCTTCCGAAGTTGGAATGAATGCCCTATCACGCAGTGATTGAAAGTGATTAATAAATACGAGGGTGACTCCCATAGTTTGATCGTGCCCTAGCTGTAAATAAATCAGACTGCACCTTCACTCGTCACGAGTGCGATGGATCCAATTTTCAAGGCCCTATCGTCTATTTGGAATGGTAATATAGTGGAGATTTTGCTAATGTAAAGTCTTTTTGGAGAAGTCTTTTCATAGAAAATCTTGCAGAGTGAAGAAATTGAACGTGATCAAAGATAGTCATAGTTTACCATGATTAATAATAACGTGTAAGTTTAAACAAGCTATTGAAAAAGAAGAATATTCAGTAAAAGGTGTCGCAAACTTTAAAAATATGAAAATTAAAGACACGTAATCTCATTCAAACTAGATGAAAGAGAATAAGCACATTAAAAAATTCAACAATAAAATACAATAACAAAATAATGAAATACAATTCAATAAGAATAAAAATTGATAAAAGTTCAGTAAAATTCCAAGGAACAACAAAATAAAAGGCATTAAATGTTAAAAAGGACCTAAATCTGACCCAACTCTTCACTTTACAGTTAACTTCTTGCGCTGGCAACTGGTTCGCGGACCATAACGAGTGACCAAATCGTGCGCAATAATTCGTCGCTTTCTTTTGGAATTCATCGGTATAATATATCACTGGATAGAAATTATTACTAAGAAGTAAAAAATTTATTATTTGTTTTACCTGGGTTATATTTAAATATACTTAAAACTGAGAAAATATTGCAATTTTGGGACAAAAAATTCTCGACGTTG